TTTTAAAAAAATGCTTCAATACTTTTATTTTTCAGTAATCTCAGCTTTACAGAGGCATTACAAGGACAGTACAGTGTCACCTTCCCCTGCTTTCCTCTAACATTAACAGCTTACATAAGGGTAAGAACTAAGATGAGCAAGTGAGGCCAAGGGCACATAAGGGAAGGGGATCCTGCCTATTGGAGGCTGACCCCACCTTCACAAATGGAAAGGGCTTGCTGGTTGCGGGTCTGCGCCCCAGAACCTTGCTCTGCTCCCCGCGGTGCTACCCCTGAGCATGTGGTTCTCAGAGCCACGGATGTTGGCATTATGCTTCTTCATGCTCTGCAGAGCTTGTGAAATTGCATTAGTTTTCTGCTAATGCCATTTTGCCATATGGGATTCAGTCCAGATTCCAGCATCCATTAGTTGCCATGTGGCCTTCGTCATCCATCTGTGATGGTTTCTTGGTGCTACTTCTAAGGCTTATTTCCTGTTGTCCAAGTAAAACTCTTTAAGTATTGATTTCCGTGTTGTGTGTCAGTATGTGCGTGTGAATGGAAATTCTTTGACACATGTGAGGAATTCTGGCATTTTGTGCTTTAAAACTTAATTTTTGCTTTAAGGGAGACCCTGTATCTTAAAAAAAAATAAACACTGCTTATCTCTAATTCTTTAACGCACAATTGTATTGAACACAGACTAGTTAAGTGATCAGTTTTAAAGGAGATTCTTGGGGCTGGAGAGATAGCTCAGTAGAATAAGCGCTTGCCTGGAAAGTGCAAGGGGCCTGAGTTCAACCCCCAGTTCTGCCAAAAAATAAAAAAAAATTAAAGGAGATTCTCAGTAAAGTATTCTAGAATACTGTGCCAGAGTTTAAAAAAGAGAAAATGACAGGGCTCTTCACCTTTTTTACTTTTGCTTTGGGGTGATGTTTGAAATATGTTCTCTTTCTCTCTATCTCAACATATGTAGAAAGAGTAATATAATTGTTTTGGAGGGAAACTGGCATGTTATCCCCGTCACACTTATGAGAATATGTAAGAGAGTGAGGGACCACTGATGTCCTTTACATTTGTAAGACTAAACATAGGAAACGATAAATATAATTAGAACTTAAGAGCGCAGACTGAACAGTTCCATTTTGGGTGTGCAGTCACCTAAGTGTTTATCTTGATCTCTTATAGTATTTATACAAATGAAATCAAATAAAAAATGTCCGAACTTTAATCATTGCAGTGCTCTGTTCTGCAGCCAATAAGTAAAAGAGAAAAAAACCACACATGTGTCATAGTAATATATGATTTTAAGGGCTGTAAGCACTGATGTGCACACGCTCACTAAGTCTGTAGTGGATTGCGAGTAATAGTGGATTTCCCAAGGGGGGAAAATACTATTCTGGCAATTTATAGCTTATTCTTTTTTTTTTTTATTGTGGTACTGGGGATCAAACTTGGGGACCTTGTGCTTGTGAGGCAGGCACTTATGCCACTGAGTTACCTTCCTGGCCCAATTTATTCATTCTTACATATCTTAACTGTACTTAAAATGTTGGAAAATAAAGGAAGAATAGGAGAAGCCAGGCCTTTATGTATCTGATACTCATAAGCTTTTCAATTTTACTTCTATACATTTTTACCTGTGTATAATTTTACTTCTTTTAGCCTGGTGGTTCTTTATTCATTACTACAATCAACAAAACACAACTGTCCTATGCCTTGGGGATTGTGTTTTCCGAGCAGATTGCAGGGATAGTACCAAAAGGTACTCATACATGGGAGAAATTCGTTTCACCTGAAAAGCTAGAGAGCATTCTGGAATCAAGTAAGTATGAATAATTTTTCAAAATTTTAAGCCTTTTAGTGCATCTATAATTATTAATCACATAACCTAGGGCTTAACTAATGGGTCACCACCTTTGGGATGTTGATTTCTTCTCTTCCACTATGTCATACACATTTTGAAGGTGGAATTAAGTATTATCTCCTCTGTCTCACTTGTGGCACCAAAGCTAGGACCAAGCTAATAATAGATGACAAATAACATATCTTTTGGCTATTTAAGCCTCACTGTTAAAAGAAGAGATACAGACATCTGTTATCTATACATCCTCAGTTCATTCCTACTAAGCTCTGCATATATTAGCTTATCTTTTTTACTTTTCTTGATTCCTCTACACTCAGATATATTTTGAAATTCCTTGCCACTTTTTATATATATTTCATGTTACTTAGAGCACGCATTATATTATGGTTTTCTAACCTTTGTCTGGCCTGTAAGCCCTTTTAAGGCAAAGTTTATTTCCTTTTTACATTTCCTACATTACCTCATTCTGCTTTACAATAATAAGCAGTCAATTTATGTCTTGCATTCTTGTCAAGTAATAGTGCTTTTTTTTTTTTTTTTTAGGCAGGGTCTTGCATGCAGTTCAGGGTGGCCTTCAATTCTCTATGTAGCCCAGGCTGGCCTTTAACTCATAGCAGTCCTCATGCCTCAGCCTCCCAAGTGCTGGGATTACAGGCATGTGCTATCACACCTGGCTAGTAATAGGGGTTTTGAATTCATTTATTTGATATTTTGTATTCTCATTTAGTACTTAGTAGCCTCATTGTATTTCACATGTTTTGTTTATATACCAGTATTTCAAGCTTGATTTTACCTGGAGTGTTGTCAGTACATAGCAAACTAGTGTTCTGGTGATTTCTGTAACTGGTGAAAATAATAAAAAATATTTTAAGCATGATTTTTGGAGATACTCTTTTATTGACAGATGTTTTCTAATAACAGTTAACATTTACTTTGCGTATTTTTCAAATTCCAAGAACTGTACTACTGTACTTTATACACATAGCTCTGCTGATTCCAACAACTGTACCACATATGTTCTGTTTTTGTGGGAATTGTCTTGCCCAGAGTCACCTGGGTGGAGGTGCCAGAGTTGGGATTTGAACCTTGGCAGTCTGCTTTAGAGTATACTTTCTAGTCTGTAGTAAATTATGATCTGTGCATGGTAACGGAGAACTCTTGCCCATTCAATTATGATGATGATTGATGATGATGATGATGATGATGATGATTATGATTATTGGCTGGCTCAGCCCACCCTGAGGATGGGGCTGACATAGCATGTGGTGCCGGGGATTGAACCGCGGTCCCCTCTGCCTGCCTATGCAGGTGCTTTAGACTGCTGAGCTATGTCATTGGCCCAACAACTATTTTTTAAATATAGAGTTGCAGGAGACTTTTGGTACTTGGAAAGTAAATATTTGTTAAGGCTCTACTCACTGGTATTTTTTCCAGATGGCCTATCAGTTCAAACTGTGGCAGGAATGCTCTACAACCCCTTCTCAGGTTGCTGGCATTGGAGTAAACATACCAGCCTGAACTATGCAGCCCATGCTGTGAAGTCTGTGGCAGCCGACCGCTCCGGGCCTGCTGAGCTTGTGGCTGAGGAGGGAGCAGAAGTGCCGCAGGCCAAGGCTTCCACCCCCGCAGGTGTGCATGAAGAACTCAGGAAGTGAACTGCATCTGAAGGCTGAAGTAATATGGCTTGAAACTCTGATTCTTGTTTTAAAAAACATACAATTTATCTTTTGAGAAATAATCATAAAGAAAAGGTTAATAAAAAGGTTAAATCCTTGAACAAAAATTTCTGACATCTGGTAGCTTTCTTTTTTCTGGTTTTTTTTTTTTTCCCCTTGATGTATAAAGTATAACATTCAATTTATTATTTCTTTCTCAAGAGAGTTTCCTTCAGTCCATTAAGCCCCAGCTCCCCTTCTATGGGCTTTGGTGGAGGTTGTGGGCCAGCACCAGCAGGTCTAAATCGCGTAGAGGAGTTCGGTCCTTGCAGGGTTCACGAGATTGATCTCTGACCACTTTGCTGTGAATGGCACAACTCAACACAGTAATGCAGCTTCACATACAGCTTGGGAAGCACATAACCATCGAAGACACTCACTTCAGAAATGTCCCTGAAGGCGGTGGCCTCCACTATGTTCCCAATGACAAACTTCTTAATGGCCTTATCCTTGGGTATGTACCAGGCACGGTTAGTGCAGTGAATAGGCTGCAGATGACTACAGCCCTTTTTGGCATGACCTTTGTTCCTTCCTTTTTTTGTCGTCTTGGAAAGGAGGACCCGAAAAAAATTCCTTTTTTTTTTTTTTTTTGGCGGATCTGGGGATTGAACTCAGGCCCTTGTGTTTGCCAGGCAAGCGCTTATTCTACTGAGCCATCTCCCCAGCCCCCTGATAACTACTTTCAAGGGATTCTGTGGACAAAAAGTTTTATGAAGGTATGTGTGATCTAAGTGTTCACATTTAGGAGTTTCTTGTCTTTGTTGTATACAGAAAGCATGCTTCATTTTATCTTCATGCATTTTGTATATATTTTTGCAACATACACATACATACATATCTGTTATTTATTTTAATTGAATAAGGAACCCATAAGATATCTTAGGGAAGGGTCTACAGGGTGTTCAGGGTCTCACTGCTAGATCTCACTCGTAGTGATCCGCTAGTTTATAGCCTCCCAAGAGCTGGGATTAAAGGCGCGTGCCACCATGCCCAATCTCAGTTGCTGTCTCAGTACACCCCGGGGGCGGGGCCAGCAGGACAGGCTTGGGGGTTGAACCCCCACTCATGAGCCTGCTTGCAGGCGCTTTAATCCACTGAGCTATTTGGCCGGCCCTCCAGTTATGCTTTTAACTGATGAAAATCAAATGTAGTTTTGAGGGTTTTTTTTGTTTTGTTTTTGTGTTTTAGAGACACAATGACACAATAAAGAAGTGAGGCTGTGTAGCTCATGCTGACCTTGAACTCACTGTGTAGCCCAGGCTGGCTTAAAACACATGGTGATCTCTCTCTCAGCCTCCTGGGTGTTGCAGCTGCAGATGTATGTGACCACACCCAGCTTACATGTTGTTTTATATCACTTATATTTAGGAAGATAGTATTTTTTTCCTTTAAATTTCATTTTGTTGAAAGTAAAATGGAAAAACAAAAACAAAAAAAAAGAAAGTAAAATGGGTTTTTGAATATGTACTGGATTTGGATTCAAGCATTAAAATCAAGAAGTTTAGATTAAACTGAACATAATTTCCTAAAAGTATATAGTGCCTTTTTTTTTTTTTTTAAGATAGAGAAGACTTCTTAAAACAAAGCTGGAAAGATAGCTAGTGGCTTAAGTGCCTGCCTGGCAAGCACAAGGTCCTGAGTTCGATCCCTGATACAATAAATAAAATTTAAAGATTCAATTATGAAAAATTTTTTCCAGTTAATATATTTATGACAAGAGGGTTGAATTGGGGCTGGGGAGATAGCTCTGTAAAATAAGCGCTTGCCTGGCAAGCACTAGGGCCTGAGTTCAATCCCCGGTTCCGCCCCCCCCCAAAAAAAAAAATGTAAAAGAGGGTTGAATTATAATGATTTTCCTGTCTTAAAATATGTGAGTCTTCCTTTTTCTCAAAATTCAGCAGCACTATAAGGACATACACAGATGGTGTTTGCTGAATATGGCTATTTATATTAAAAGCATGTGGCGGGCTGGAGAGATGGCTCAGTGGTCTAAAACACCTACTTGAAACAAGCTTAGCAAAGCACAGGGACCGCGGTTCAATCCCCCAGCACCACATGCCAGCCAGCCTCGCCCCCTGGTGGGCTGAGCTGGCCACACACACACACACACACACACACACAATGTAAAAATAAATAAATATTTAAAAAAAGCATGTGGCACTTGTGAGAGGTCAGCCTTTTTTGTGTTCTCTGTTCTTCAGT